AATAGAATAAAGGATAGAATAGAATATGAATTAGGAATAGAATAGAATAAAGGATAGAATAGAATATGAATTAGGAATAGAATAGAATAAAGGATAGAATAGAATATGAATTAGGAATAGAATAGAATAAAGGATAGAATAGAATAGGAATTAGGAATAGAATAAAGAATAGAATAGGAATTAGGAATAGAATAGAATAAAGGATAGAATAGGAATTAGGAATAGAATAGGAATTAGGAATAGAATAGGAATTAGGAATAGAATAGGAATTGAATAGGAATTAGGAATAGAATAGAATAAGAGTGTCAAAAGGGACCTTGGAGGTGGTCTAGTCCAACCCCCAGCTTAGTCAAGAATTCAGTGCCCATCAAGTAGCCCTGCACAACTGTTTCTCTGGCCACATTCTAACCTGTGTCCGATGCAGAAGCCGGACAGCCCTCTACAAGAGAGGCACCCCTGTCCCTGTGTCCTCAGGGCCAAGGGCCCTTTGGGTCCTCAGCCAGGACGCCTCCCCTGTAGCAAAGGCAGGCCCAGGCTGCCTCCTCCTCCACCCCACTTTTGACACCTGCCAAGGCCTCACCTGTTGAACCGGTTAGGCCTGATGAATCAAGATGCTGCAAGAAGAGGCAACCCGCACAGCCACCTGCCATGGCAAGATGAGCCTGGCTCCCCAGGAGCTGCCAGTTAAGGGCCTGGCACTTACCAGCTTGAGGGAGAGGGAAGGTGCTGCGGGCGCTTCCAAAACCTATTGCACCACCAGCAGGCGGACGGGCTGCACTGGACTGGTTTTTCTGGCTGGGTCCCGCAATAAGCAGGTTAGGGAGGCCGAGCGCTGAGAACCATCGAAACGCATTCCATGGAGCCAGCCTGCTGGGAGAGAAGCCTAGGCTGGATATGGCATGGGTGCCCGGCTGGTGAAAGAAATTGGGCAAGGCTGGCCTTGGCTGGGCAAAGCTACAGCAGTGTCCCTAATAAGGTAAAGGTTCCCCTTCCACGTATGTGCTAGTCGTTCCCGACTCTAGGGGGCGATGCTCATCTCCGTTTCAAAGCCGAACAGCCAGCGCTGTCCAAAGACGTTCTCCGTGGTCATGTGGCCGTCGTGACTAAACCGCCGAAGTGTTCCCTTCCCACCAAAGGTGGCTCCTATTTTTCTACTTGCATTTTTTTAACATGCTTTCGAACTGCTAGGTTGGCAAAGCTGGGAAAAGTCACGGGAGCTCATTCCGTTATGTGGCGCTAGGGATTCGAACCGCCGACCTTTCTGATCGACAAGTCAGCGTCTTAGCCACTGAGCCACCTTGGTGTCCCTAATATTTGCCCCCCTGAAAAGGGGCGCCACCAGCACACAAATGCCGCCTTCCATTCTCCTCCCGCCAAATGCCCACCCCTCTTCGGCCCTGCAACCCTCCAATTTGGTTGCACTTGAGTGGCACCTTTAAAAAAAAAAATCTATCGGACAACAGCTGAGAAAACGCATCTTTTATTTTTAAAATCCAAAACGTTTACATGTTTCTCCCAGTTGAGAAGCAACCGCCCCCCCTGACACCTGCCAAATACGTCCTTATTATTATTTTTTTGGTAAAAAGGAAGATGCGAGCTATAAAGATGTCACCCGATCATCGGCAAGAGCCCAACTGCCTCCCGATGCTACCCCGGCAGCAGCTAAGCGGGCAGAGGCAAGAAGGGCGAAGAAGGGCAGCCCTGCAACATGGTGGGCAGATTCCTGAGAGGCCCCCGGCCCGCCGTTGCGTGTGCAGAGTGCCAAGGACGCCCGCCTCGAGGCGTGGCCACCGTTGATCTGGGCTTTCCCTCGGCGTACGAACAGGGAGCGAGATCCAGACTGCTCCTCCGCAAATTATACGCAAACCCCCTCTACGACGGGCAAGTGCTTTTGCAGATGTTCACAACGCTGCCCTCCAGCCGCGCTCTCTCTCTCTCTCTCTCTTTCTGCCAGGAAGTGCGGCCCTCGAAACTCACCCTTAAAGGTGCGTTTCAAAAGCATCACCACCTTGGCTGTCAGGATTCTCCTGTGCCATTGGTGCTGGGTTGCGGCACCCAAGTCCACAGAGCACCTTCAGGGGCACCTGGCAAGGGGAACTCCTGCCATGCAGAGCCCCTCCCACCTTCCCAACATAAAGGGCCTGGGTCTCTTCCCCACTACTCCTCCCTCGCTGTTGGAGATCAGCAACCCTAGCCAAGAGCCACAGCATTTGTCCAATCAAAAGAAAACACCGCCTGTGCGCCGTCACCCAAACCCACGTTTCAAAACTCTCCCGCCGCTCTGAATTATTATGGGGACAGGACAGATTCCCACCCCATCTCTCAAGCTGCCGAGGAAAATCCAAGGCTTCAGAAACACCGAGGAAGCCCACCTCCCACCTTGGCCAGTCCTGGGCTGGGGAATCGGCGACCAATGAATCTCTCCCAACGGAAGGGCGGCTCCTGGCCTCTCCCGCTATAAATGTGATCGGCAGCTCACAAATTCCCTGCCTTTCGTTTCAAACCTCCAATGCTTAATACCGTTCGTTAAGGGAGGCTCACAGCAAGCAGCCCCCCACCCCCGGCCCTAACCTCCCCCAGGGAAAAACTGGAAAGCGCCACAGCTCCTCCGTCCACCGTCTCTCTTGCCTAGCTCTGCTGTCTCCTTACCAAGCCCAGCACCGTCACACCCACCCACCCACCGCACGCAAAGCTGCATTTCAGCCTGCACCGAGAAGGGCCAGAAGCCCTCTGAGGCCTCTTGGGACCAGCCTCAAGACCTGAGGGGCTAGAGCTTGACTCCACGGTACCCCCCAAAGCGCTGCCCCTTTGGGGCACTCTCAAATTTCACCCACGGCTGCAAGCGAAGCAGAATTGGGAGGCCAGTCACACGGCTGGCATGCAGTGTCCCCCAGGGAGGGAGGGGGGGTGAGAAGGGGGGTGCCACACACACCGCACCACCCTGAACACTCTGGCACCAAGGTTAAGCGCCCCCTTCGGACCTGTGCCTTCTAAGCCCCCATTTTGCATCTCATTGTAAAACCATATATTTCAATAAAGTTTTAATTCCGCGGACCTAGGCCAGAACGATAGTTAGTAACAAAATGGCGGATTTCGTACAATGCCAATCTTGTTTCTTTTCAATGGCCCAAAATTCAACCAGGGAAATAGGAGAGATGAAACCTGGTTGAAAATAATGGATATTTTAATTCCCTTTTCTTTCCTTAAAAAAAAAAGGTATCAAACGTAGTCACAGGGGGGGGGGGGGGGGCGCTCGTTTAGAAAGGCAGCCTTGGCTACGTGGGCACCACGATGTTCCTGGCTAACAAGATGAGCAGGGCCAGATCGGCATTCCCCCCCGCGTGCTCCAGAGCCTCTCCGGCTTCTTGCGGTGTAAAGCCAGCCCCCACAATCTGATCGAGGTTAGCGGCGAGGGCAGGAGGAGGAGAGCTGGGCTCCGAATCTCCAGGGGGGAAGGACGAGGGCTCAGGATGCTCGCCGGAGGAGTCTCCCGCTTCTTCCGGGGAAGGGTTGCAACTGCCCCGGGCGGTGCAGGACTCCTGAGGACCGAACGAGGCAAGAGGGCTCTGCTCCACAGCAGTGGAGCCAGGATGCGGCCCAGAGGATACGAGCTGGGCCGGTATCTTCAGGCACTCCTTGGCCTGCGGCAGAGGCCATGCCACCAAAGGGCTCGCCGGGACAGAGTCGCCGCAGCCAGAGGCCGCTTGGGCAGCCTCTTGCTGCCCCCCAGCTACGTGGGGCTCTTCCAGCATCTCTGTCCCGGCCTCCAAGCGGGAGAGAGCCGCTCGCTCACGGGAAGGTGAATCCTCCTCGGCCACAGCCGGCTCTTCGGGAGGAACCTCAAGCGAGGGGCAGCCCTCTTCCTGCCGAGCCACCCCTCTCCGGAAGTCGTGTTTTGAACTCACAACCAGGAGCTGGTGGAGCTCCTTCAGGGCCGAGGCAAGGGAGATGCCCGCCTCTTCCTCTTGATCCTTGGGCCAGCTAATGGCCATGTTTCCGGGCTGGGTCGAGCCGCTCGCTGGGGGGAGAAGACCGAGGGGCAGAGGAAGGCCGTGGCATTCGTGCAACCCCGGCTCTGTCCCAGAGGCCGGGTCGCTCATGTCGGCTGACTCGAGGAAGTGTGGGTCCGGAACCTCTGGGGCAGGGGGACGTTCAAGCGAGAGGTCGTCTCCTGGCGGCTCGGCTGGACTGCCCTCTGGCCTCTCTTCGGCCTCTTGGGACATCTCTCCTTCCTCTGCAGCAGCAGCCAGTGGCGAGGAAACGCCCCCCAGATGCTGAGGCTCTCTCCATTCACCTGAAGGAAGCTCGGGGGCCTCTAGCAGCAGGGGAGCGTCAGGCTCGCTCATCTCTAGGGACGGACTGCCCTCTCCCCCTGTCTCCGGAGGCTCGCGGCCAGGAGCAGCCTTCTCCGATAGGCAGCTGGAAGCAGCATGTACATTTTGGGGGGTCGCCGAGCCCCCCAGGAGGGAATGGGCCCCGGCGCCGGCCAGATTCAGTGGGGAGGCCAGGGGCTTCTTGCTCCCCAACCCTTCCCGGGACTCCAGCAGAGAATCCAGCGATTTCCCAGCTCTGGGATTTTCAGGCTCCGCTTGGCCGCCGAGGGGGGAGCAGACGGCCGGAGCCGAGGCCGAGCGATCGAGCAGCAATCGGCTTGCGGGGCTGTCAGTAATCTTCAGACCAAGTTCTGGAAAACAAACTGGAGGTTTAAAGCCGTCTGAAGTTGGTTGCGACGGAGGTCCAAGTGAGGTAGTTTCTGTATCGCTAGTCTCTGCGCACACAAGAGGGGAGAAGAGAAGGGGAAAAGTTTTAAGAATAAGAACCCCAGAGGTCGCAGAGTAAATGGGGAGGCCCTACAAGCGAGCGACATAGAGCGGCAGTAGGGAAAGCTGCCTCCCCCCCCAACCTGCTCCTTTCACAAGGGAGGGGTGCAAGCGGGAACGGCTCTCCCCCCTCCATCTATCCCCAAATAGGCTCCTTTCCCCCACTTCCGTTGTACGGGCAGGTAGGCAGGCCAAACCAGTTGCAAGCGAGCGATGAGCCATGCAGCCATCCCCTCCCTCCCTTTTCAATTTCACTGCAGTTAAGATCTTAACCGACTTCCTGATTTTCGAGGAGCAGAAACCAAGACAGGTTTGACGGTGAGCCCCCTCCTGCAGCCCCCCCCCGGCCCTCCTGCACGACCCCAGAAGAAAATTGCTCTGCCACGTTTCCGGGTGAAGGTGGTCTCATCGAGTCAGCTCAAGCCAAACCCCCTGACGGTGCCCTTCGCCCCGCCCCGCCATGCATCAGCCGAAGTAACCCCCAGCAAAGAAGCAGGCACCGCTTTCCGAGGGACGGGAGCAGAAAGCCAGAAACGCCGTTCGGAATCGAGAGGTTCAGCCAAGCGGTAGGATCTGCACCGCCGTGCACCGGCCCGGCCTTCCTCAGCGGCCAGTATTCCAGCAAGGACAAGTTGGGCCACAGGAGTGTTCCCGGAGAAGCCCCGTTGCTGCTTGAGTCCTCCGCTGGGGTCCTCCCGTTCTCAGATCCAAGTTGGCGGTTCCCTCCACCCGCCCGCCCGCCCGTCCTGCAGGAGCCGCGAGAGGGAGGAAGCGCTGGCAGTACCTGGTGTGTGGCCCCCTCCAGCGGCAGCAAAACATTACATGCATCTAGGCTTCTGGCATTCTGTTCAGATTAGGAGACAAACACACCAAACGTGGGTTAGCACAAACACACCACATGCGCCCTGGTTCCGGGCTGGTCCGGCGGCCCTTCCTGGCCCCCCNTCGGAAGGATGGAAGGCTGAGTCAACCCTGAGCCGGTGAGATTTGAACCGCCGAACTGCAGATAGCAGTCAGCTGAAGTGGCCTGCAATACTGCACTCTAACCACTGCGCCACATCGGCTCCTTATCAGCTGCTTTCAGAGTCAGACATCAGTGAGGCAGACGAACATCTGGAGCCTGTTCCCTGTGTGCGCATGCGCAGAGTTGCCAGACGAAGGGAACAGCTAAAGAACAGGGGGCAACTTGGGAGTAAGGCCACAAGTGGACGATGAATGGCCCCTCCCAGAGGAAATAAAACGGGAGCGAAAGGGGAGTGGAGTTTGCAGGAGACAATTAATTTGCTTAATTGGTTTGTGACTCTTCGAGACTCTTTGTCAAGTTTTACAGATATCGGCCTGTCAGCTCTCCAAGCTGGTTAAGGTCTGTGACTGTAAATCCTCTCTTGAAAGACTTTGCTAGATGCGAACGAGCAGAATTCACAGTGAATTAATAAAAGGGTTTTTTGGTTGGGACAAGGAGTTTGCTTCATGCTCTTGGGAAGCCTAGGTCAGAACAAATGCATGGTTAGTGTATCAGGTGGAGACAAGTGTACTAATGGTGTTTTTCCCATTGTAAATGTGTCATTGGCTGTGCTAACTTGGAATTGGGGAGTTTTGGTCACAACACAACTAGAGGATACTATGTTGGAGAAGAATGATTTAATGGCTGGCCAAAATCATATATTAACTACTCTTTGTCCCCTCCCCACCCTACTGTGTTCTTATATCATGACTCTATTTATAGGGACAATCCAATGGCTGATATTTATGGTGCCAACCTCTACCACCGCTACCTCCAGACTCAGGCTGAAGTCAATGTAACTGCTATGGCAGCAGAGAAGGAGAAACATCTGGAGACCCAGAGAGACTGCGATATCTCGGTCAGCTCTGCAAAGAGCTGCCATTCTATCCTAGTTTGCACCGGGGTCTACAATCCTCATGGAGACATCCCTACTGACCCTGAGAACATCCTGAAGACTCTATCCCACGGGCATCGTGACTTCCATTTTGATCCCTCCTTGGTGGAAGCTTCTTATGTTGTTCATGATGTGAATGATGCTGTGGAACTTGTATTTCAAAAAGAGAATTGGAAACAAGATTGACCAACCTAATGCCAGCAGCATCTGATGTGGGGATGCAAGAAAACTTGACCTTTTTCTTGTTTAACTCATGCCCAAATGAAAGAAAATCCTCCAACTCCTTTTGTTTTTGTAGGGATTATACTAAACAATTTTTCAAACCCTGAAATGGTCAATTATGTAGTTTAAAATTAATCCCCTTTGCTAACGTTGACTTGGCCACAGAGGCATAAGGACTACTTAATTGAACGGATCACTTGGTGATCCCATAGGATGCACACATCTGTGAGATTTTAAAACTCTTCTTTTGCCTAAAATACAATCAGTCATTGAATAATCCCACTTTGTGACTTTGTTTCATCCATTTTATTATTGGGATGGGGGAATCCTGTTTAAATACTGTAATCCAGTCTCATGAGTGCTGCTACAGGAAGTCCTTGGATTACAACAGTGATTGAGACCAGAATTCCATTGCTAAACATACGGTCCCAGCTGCTGTTGTAAAGTGAGGACCGCGTGGGTTGTTCAGTGAGGACTTCACATGATTGCAACTTCTGACTTCCTGCCAGCTTCCCCATTGATTTTTTTCTTGTGGGAAGCCATCAGGGAAGGTAATAAATCTCAATTACATGGGCGCAGGGCTCTGTTGGTCAGAACCCTGAGGACCTGTCATATGTCCCCTGGTTCGGTGCCATTGCAAGTTTGAACAGTTGCTGACCAGCGGTCATAACCTGATGACTGCCTGTACACTTTCAGGGTTTGTCACACAATTTAATATGATATTGTACATCGTAAATTCTTGGAAGCTATGGAACCTCGTCACAGTAGGAATGCTACTTTATGCTATATAAATGAGAGGCTCATATAGGTAGGTACCGTAGTAATGAATTCAGACTTTCTTCATGACTACCTCATTTTACTAGTCCTTAAATATTTATCTCTACTTGCCATAAAGGGCCTAAGCCCTCCAAATTGCACTTTTGAAGGTCTTATATGCGTGCTCTGACAGACCTATCCTTTCTTACAAAAAGTAAGGTATAAAAATGTGAGAAGTGCATCTTTTTTATAAAAAAAAAACTATTTAAGTAAGTTGGAAAGGAAATTTATCCAGGATCATCTTTTTAACAGTAGTTTACCTTTTTAAAGAATATTTTCTAGAGATAGATTATTCTCTATATAATGACTGCATATAAAACTAATAAAATTGTACGTACTTGTACAAAAGTTTACACATACACACACACACACACACACACACACACACACACACCCATACTTAAAAAGTGTATAAGACTTCAGGTTTTTTGGTAGCCTTCCAAAAGATGGAAGGTGATTGGTAGCCCACCCGGGGGAGGGCCTTCTCTGTTGCAGCTCCGGCCCTTTGGAACGAACTCCCTGCGGAGATTCGGACCCTCACCTCTCTCCTTGCCTTCCGAAAAGCTGTTAAAACCTGGCTATGTCGGCAGGCCTGGGGTTGATGAGCTCTCTTCCCCTCTCGACAGGTGTGGTTGTTGGCTATCTTAAATGCTTGTCTTGTATTTGTATGTTCCCTTT